TACGGAGTGGAGAACAAAAGAAAGGAAACTGGAAATAAAAAGGGCAGAAAGAGAGAAAGGACACGTGTGCACACAGTGCAGGGGACCCGGGTTTGAATCTGTCTGCATGGAAATCTCTGTAGCTGGGGGCACATACGTGGCCAACGTGCCGTTGGAGAGAAACAGGGCCAGGCAGGCGCCCATCTAGTCATGCCAGTGCTGTCGCTTGCTTCTCCTCAGCAGCCTTTCTCCTTGCTGGCTACGCTGCTTGAGAGGGAAGCCGGAAGCAAGAGTCGCTACCATTTTATGTGGGATTTGGTGCATGTGAGATAGGCCTTTCACGGCCTCAGACCCATTCCTCCCTGTTTTCTTCAACTGGGCACAGATAAATGAGGGTTTCTCACAACACTGCCTATGGGGGTCAGGAAAGCAGTTTCTACAGCCAGGTGCCCCCCTCACCTTTGAAGATGGATGAGAGGAACGTGCTTGGTGTGCCCCCCACCCCACGCCCCTCCGCTTGGGGTTCTGACTGAAATCCCCCCTCATGTTCCAGAGCTGAGGAGACCTGTTCCCTCATGGACTCTCACATACACTCATGGACATGGATGTTCCGCGGGAGGGCCGGAGGGCATGTTACCAAAGCAGCCGGGGCTCCAGAGGCTAAGTGTCTGCAGTGCGTCTGGAGGCCACGTGTGCCCACACGGGACTAAATGAAACATCTTTGCCTTTCCACAGGGAAAATCCATACTCCATACCTGACATTACTTGGTCACCCACCACTCAGGTTAGCCCTTCCTCAGTGAACAAATATTCACTGTTTCATGGAGAAGGGTGAGCACGCCCTTTAATCATGAATTTGGTGTTTTTACAGCCACAGACATCTTTAATGATGTTCTATAGCCTTAACTCACTTGGGTGTCTGGGGTTCCCAGGCAGTTTCCCGTTTCCCAGCAGCCGCTCTGCCTTCTCCAAGGCTGCCTATACCAGTCACTGTGTCTGAGGATCACAAGGCTGCTCGCCCCTGCCCTACAAACAGTTTCGTTTCTCTCCTTCTCAGGAGACCAGAGGGTGGATGATTTCTTTGGGGAAAGTTCAGGTTTTGCACAGCTTATTCACCCCCAGGGACACACGCCCACACATATGCAAGGTCTTATGTGTCACTTGTGGAAATCTTGAAGGGGTCTGTGGGTCCTTTGAAGCTTATACAAGAATATCAGTTTAAGATGCTTTAGTTTACATGGAAACATTTTTATTATTTGTATCTGATACTCAACATGTTGGGTAACTGTTTGTATTTTCCTCAAAACTCCCTGTTTCAAATGCCTTTCCAACCTTTGTCATTGCACGTCTGCTGATGGCTGCCCACTGCTCTTTGACGGACGTGCCTGACAGGTCAGGGGTACAGGGTGGTCCCGGAAAGTAGGAGGCAGGTTGCCAAGGTCCACAGACTTTGCCATTAAGATTTCAAATTCTGCCAATGGTTTCCTGACATGTGTTTTTAAACACAGGGGGCTCTGGTGGCAGCCATGGGGGTCCCAGCTCTGATGTCCCTTCAAAAGGGAACTGGAAGGTGGGGAATCAGCTGATAGCCCCCAGCAGCAGTGGCTTAGGACTCACTGCAGGGCTCGGCTTCAGCCCACTCCACAGTGACCACCTGTGGGGGCCAGGTCTGGCCATTTCTGCCATCGTGGGGCTACCCTATGAGCAAACTTTGAGTTGCTGGGCCAGAGAATTTTCAGAGCTGCGCCGAAGTCTGAGGCTCTTCCTGCCCATCCTCCCCACCCCCTTTCATCACAGGGGTAGGATCTGTGCCTGCTCCTGCGTCCTCTCCCCGCCTTTCCCTGGTGTCTCCCCAATAAATCTCTTGCACTTGTAACTCTTTTTTGGTGTCTGTCTGGGAGGACTTGCATGGACACAGCTCTGTTCACAGGTGATATTGCTGGTCACTTTGCACAGTCCCCCATCTTCCCTTCCCAGATCCCCACCTGCAAACAGCCGTCACCACTTGCTATCCCAGTTTGTCACAGAGTTAAGTTTGTTGGGTGTTGGGTTCCATCCTTCTGGCTATACAAGTTAGTAGCGTTCATGATACCACCCCGCTCAGCATCCTGTAGGGGCCGGAGGTTCCCTGGAGATGAGACAGAATCAGGAGAGAGTCAAACACATACTTTATTTATGAATGGAAATTCTTTCCAGGATTCAAGGCTGGATAACAGAAATCTCAGGAATGAACCCTGTCCACTTACTTACAGGACTCTTCTCAAAAACCAGGTCAATGAGGTCAGCTCCTGAGTCCTCTTCTCCCAGGAGTCCTCTTAGTCCTTCCAAAAGAAAGGACATTCCAGTGTGTCTCTGAATTCTGGTGGGGGTGAGCAGGGCAAGGATTCCTGCCCTCAGTCCCTCCCAGAAAGTTCTCCCACCCACCCACCCGTCAAGTACTATGGTCTGACTGTGAGTCCATGACATGAATCAGCTCCTCTCTGTGACAGAATGAAGAGGAGACATTGGCACAATACAAATAACACATTGACAGCCACTGGATCCCACATTTTGGAAGTAAACATAACAAAGATGGCCCCATGATGTCTTATATTCTATTACTACTGAACAGTATACCAAGGAAAAAGCTCAAGAGATAAACCCAGGGCGACACACTGCTGTAAGAATGAGACCCATGCACGGTGCAAATCATGGTGTTTCTCATACATGGGAGCCGCCAACATTTTTATAAGTTCAGTGGGTGCCGGACAGTGGGTCAGAGGGAGGCTTGCTGGGCCCTCGACAGGGATCTTCTGTCATATTTGAACCAGTCACGACCATCCAGTAGTCTCCCTTATGGTGTGCAGTGATGATGCTATCCAACCACATCCCTTCAGTTACCCTGGACTGACTGGTGGCTCCCTTTGTATCAATCTCCGTGAACTCATTGCAAAAGGCTCTCTGAAGTTCCCAGACTTTGGCTTGATTACCGGCGTTGGCTTGATTACCGGCGTTGAGTGTGGGTCTTTAGAATCACAGGAAAAATGTGCTTCTCAGCTGCCTCCACGCCTGATGGGCAGTCTGGACCCAATAGGACAGGCGAGTTAGCCACGGCCAGTCTGGTAGGTTCCTCAAGAGTGGGAGGAGTTTTGTGTCCCCAGCTCAGAGCTAAGTACAGAGCAGGTACTCAACAAATCCTTGTTGAATTTAACCCTTGCCTCTTCAATAGAGAGGATGTTTTCAATTCCTTGACACTTTCTTCTTAGGTATGTCTCATAATCATGCTGGTTCCTTACATACTCCCGTGGAGTGAATAATCCACACACAGTACAATTCTTTACTGGAAGTATGACTAATGCTTTGGACATTGAATTTTTTTTTTTTTTTGCCCTTAAATTATGTCTTTCATTCATCTATCTGCACTGAGCTGGTTTTATTTCGTTTATTTATTCATTCCCATGCTGCTTTGCAGAATACGGCTCTAGGGTTGTTCTGGCTTATTCTGCTGCTGTATAACTTCCCCAGGCCTGTCAATCCCCTGGGAGGGTTCCAGCCTGCATGGCTGGGCAAGGCTATAAGGCCCGTGGGCAGCACTGGTCTCCCTCAGCGCCACAAATGCAGCACAGGTGCACCCATTCTTCAAACCACAAAAAGGACATTCATGGATGGTACCTGAGACTTCTGCTTTCAGCCACATCTGGGGATAAAACACAAATCTAGGAGACAGAAAGAAGCTGCGTGTTCACCTGCTGGACTCCTCAAAGCTTCAGTGGGACAGGCAGGATTACATTCATGGCTCTTGGTAGACTGTCCTGTGGGTGGGTGGGTCATCCCACCCCTTACAGACAGGTGGCCAGTGAAGCCATGGCGGCAGGAAGGGAAGATTCAGAGAATCAGAAGGGAAGATATAAGGTGGCCTCTTCCCACAAGTGGGGCTGCAGGGGGCAGCCTCCATGTTCATTGGACATCTGAGCACATGGCTTGTGCTACTAAAAGCTCAGACCACATTAGTGTCCCTGCCCTAAGATACCCCAAAAGGCCAGCACAGGGAGTTCCTATGTTTATCTTCCTTAATGGCATCTCCAGCTGGGGGACTTGGTCTGTTAACCTCTGATGGAGAGAGGCAGGCTTTGACATGAAGTCCTCTGCTCTGTCAAAGACCAAGATGTTCTAGAAGAAGGAAAGTACTTGTGGTTTTAGGATAAATCAGAGAACGTTTGCTATGGATATTGACACATGTTAGCAGTTGCTACTCTCCAGGACCTGGGTATTAAGTCACTGGACTTGTTATTCCTATTCTTTTTGAGACCACCAATTTTTGGTGAAGCAAACAAAAAACTTGTACAATTCTCGATCCATTGAATGTTAAAAGGGATCCTTAGGTTATCTCGTGCAGCCCCATGGCTTCACAGATAACGAAAGAGGCTCAGATAGATTAAGTGTGGCCCAGGCCTCCCGATTCTTGGTCTGTAGCAAACATTAGCTGGCATGAGTGGAAATATTCTGTATACTGGTCACCCAGGACAGCCCCTAGGGACATAATGCAGATGAACCCGAGCTTTTCAATCTCAGGATGTTTCTGTGCACTGAAAGATTGAAGCGCCTAAAGGAAGGCATCCATGCTTCCTTTTCACAGATGCTTAGAAGACGGAGTTAAATCTTTCCTTCGGATTTTACGTAGTTCCTTCTTTTGTTCACCCTGTCGAGAGAAGGTTGATGTGAGGTTGATGTGAAGACCAGCAAAAGGAGGGTAATGTGTACATGGCTGTGGACAGCTTCACTGAAGTAAGACAGGGGCTCCAGGCAAATCCAGGTGCTACAAGATTCCTCCTGGAATGAGCCCCCACGTACAACCAAAGTTAATTTTAGAATTATGGCATGGATTGCAGGGAAAATCAAGCCCAACCTTGCCATTTTACAAGCTCAAAGAAGTTCAGTGATTTGCCTTGGGTCACACAGTGTGGGAGATGACAAAGTCATAGAAGAATCCAGGTTTTTGTTTTTTAACTCAGGATGGGACATTTTCCCTAAAACATTCTAACTTTTTTTTACAAGCCCCAATGTGAGGGTGTTTCTGATGGTTTCTAGATCAAGGCATTATCCATGCATGAAGTTGAAGCAAGACACAGATGGTGGTGGCCGCCCCCGCTGAGGACCTGTGGTCTAGGAGAGCATGTTGGAGTAGAAGCTGAAGCTCTCTGTCATGGTCTTGGAGTTGCTGCGAGAGGAGCCATTGGAGGCCAGGTCCTGGGATGAGGGTATGGCCTTGGGACCATCCTCCAGCTCCTCCTCGTGGGCCCCCACCACTGTGGAGACAGTGGTCTCCAGGCGGCTGACCTTATACACGCTGCCCTGGGTTTGGAGGTAACGGGTGGATTTCATTTCGAGCCCCTCGTAGTCACCGGCACTGATAAAGGGGCAGCACCGGAAGGCATGCTTGAAGCCCAGACGGAACCTGGAGAGAGAGCAGATGGAGAGGTGACCCTTGGGGACAGCCTGCTCCCAGAGGACATTCCCACCACTGTCTCAGCTCTTGCACACATGCGCATACCTGAGCATGACTCTCTTTTACTGGGTTTATATTGACAGCCGGAGACATTGAGGCCAAAGCAATTTGAAGGCCAGTCATGAAGGCAGAATTCAGAACCAGACCCTAGGCTCATGGGAAATGCCTGTTTTGACTGAGGATGACTCCTGAACCCTGCTGCTGCCGCCCGTACCTCAGCCCACGCTGGATCGACTCAACACTAACAAAAGCACTCCCCAAGTGTTTGCTCTGTGCTCGGTGCTGTGCTCATCAGCGGGCAGGAAACCCATACGTTAGGACTTCTTTCTCTCAAGGAGCTCGTGGACTGAGGCTCACTTCAATCACGTCCCTTCCATGTGCCTCAATTTTCCTGTTTGATAGACTGGGAGAATCAGCCTTTACTTAGACATACTGGGATATTTGATATTTAACCCAAGAGCACTTGGGCAAAGTCATCAGGCTCTTTGAAGGAGGTGAATCCATGCGTTAACTTAACAGAGAGCATCTGGACACATTCAAGAGAATCTTGCCCCCAAATTCACAGCACCTGAGTATCTCATTCACAGAAGGCATTTTGTAGGCTGATGACAGAAAGCTAGAAAGACTGTGACAAACATTTCATTCCTCCTCCTGGCCCTTCCTCCTTTCCCATCTGAGGGACTGAGCTGACTGTTGGGGACTCTGCACATCAACCCGAATTCCCTGTTGCTGACCACCGTTCCCGATGGGCTCTCCCTTCTCTTCCTTGTCCAAGGTTGGCTGCTTCTGCCAGGACAGCTCTCCTGGCCAGTGTGGCCAAGTCCTGAATCAGGGCCTTTTGCTTACCCTGTCCTGCCGAAACCACCAGAAAAAAATGGGGAAAGCTACCCAAATTGTGTGATGGAGTGGATGGGAAGAGAGAAGTGAGAGACCAGTGAAGGGAAAAGATGCTCTGGTGCTCTGGTGCCATCAGTGTCTCTGTGTGTGCTGACTCTCTCTGCCTCCCTTTCTCCCCTCTCTGCACATACAGCCACTGTGCGTAGGTCCATAGGGCTGACTGGCTAAACTCCCAGGCTGTGAACTGGCTGCAACCCACAGACCTCTTCATATGCATGCATCACAGAGGTTTGTTTTAATGTGCACCCCCAACCCCCACAACCTCAGTTGCAAGTGTTCAAAGGTCAGAAGACCTCACACAAAAATACGGATTTCTGGTTCTTCTTGGAAAAGGGTAAAAAAAAAAACCACTCTGGGTTGGTAACTAGTAGGGATTGGGCAGTGTGGTCATTTTTTTGCCACAGTCCCTCCCACTCCATCTTGCCTCGCAGAGGTTCTGCTCAGTTAGGCTGGGAACTTGGGTGCTCGGGAGCTCCAGAGACAGATGGTCTTGCTGCCCCTGAGCGAGTGCGGAGCGAGGCCCTCACCTGTCGTTGAGGCAGCAGTAGATGATGGGGTTGTACATGGTGGAGCTCATGGCCAGCCACATGACCGCCAGGTAGACCTGCTGAATGAACTTCTCCAGATAGAGGTCGGGGTTGATGTAGGGCAGGAGGAAGAAGATGTGGAAGGGCAGCCAGCAGATGGCGAAAGTGCACACCACGATGATCATCATCTTGACCACCTGGAGAGAGTGTGAGATGGGTGAGAACCGCAGCACGTCTGCCTCTTCTCGACACTACACTCTCTTTCCTCCTGCTCCTTCACCACAAGGACCTTTTTTCACATGGGACCATGGGACTTGGATTATGTCAGTAGTTCTCAGAGTATGACTCTGGGACCTGCTTTGGGAACCTGTCAGAAATGGGAATTCTGGGACCCTATCCCGCACTCACAGACTCAGAACCCCGGGGGGTGAAAGCCAGATTTCTGTGTCTGACAAGCTCTTCAGATGATTTTGAGACGCACTCATCTTTGAGAACCTCTGTGTTATGTCATCCTTCTGGGCAGGGACTGGAGAAGCCAAGGGAGGGCAGACCCGGGGGAATGGGGGTTCTGGGGGAGAGATCCAGGAAGGGGCAGGAGGCAGCAGGGGTGAAGGAGGGGGAACGAAGGGCCAGGGCAGTATCTGGGCAAGGGAGGGATCTGGACAGCTGCAGCTAGGAAGCACCCGATGACTAAAGGGGATTTCAGAGGTTTTTATGAATAGCGGGGGGATGTAACCTGTTCCTTTTTAGCCCCATGAAATCTTCAGAGAAAAACTAACTAGCATCCACACAATGAAATACTATGTAAAGAAGTAGAAAAGAGAAAAAAATGAGAAAACCCTTGGTTTATTGGTTTTCAAAAATCTTATAGACATTGTTAAGCAAAAGAAGTGAGGGGAAAAGAATATAAAAAAAGGAAAAGAATATGTATTGTGTAACAAAGAAAAGAATGTATATTTGTTTGGCTTATAAGTGCACGGTAATATCTGGATGGATTAATAACAAATAAAAGTGGTTACCATAGTGTGTGTGTATGTGTGCATGTTACTAGCTTGACAGGTTGCCAGTTACTCTTTCTTTTTTTTTTTTTTTAAGATTTTTATTTATTTATTTGCCAGAGAGAGAGAGAAAAAGAGAGTGAGAGCACAAGCAGGGGAAGCGGCATGCAGAGCAAGAAGCAGGCTCCCTGCTGAGCAAGAAGCCCAATGCGGAATTCGATCCCACAACCCTGGGATCATGACGTGAGCCGAAGGCAGATGCTTAACTGACAGAGCCACCCAGGTGTCCCATCATTTACTCTTAAGACAAGAAGGAAATGGCTTCTGCCTGTACAGGCAGGCCCAGGTTACAAATACAGTGAAGAATGACTTCTTCCCGCCACCTCCCTACATCCCGCCCTCCCCTCCACTGTTCCACAGACCCAGGGATGTTTCATGCCTGTGGAGGCTCTGGGGCTCAGTGCCTGCCAGTCTGTCGCCCGTGCCAGGGTGGGTCGGGGCTGCTTGCTCTTCCCTTACCTTGCGCTTGGCAGAGACCTGCTCATGGTAGCGGTCTGAGGAGTCCCCAGGGATCTCGCTGGCCCACAGCGTGATGCCCACCACGGTGTACGCATAGCCGATTACCAGCAGGGGAAGGAAGTAGATCAGCACAGTCACGCAGATATGGTACCTGCAGCAAGCAGCATGGGAGCCGTCAGTCTAAGAAACGACAGGGGCGGTCAAGGCTTGGCAGCTAACTTTCTCAGCATTTGGATGGCAAGGCACACCCAGGGAGGCTTGCCACCTGCACTGAATGGTTGGATGACACAAAAATGGGTAAACTAGAGGAAACTCTTTCCATAACTGAGATTCCTGTTGAGATTGAAGAGAAGAATAAACACTGATGAAAGGGAACTGAATTCATTGTATACCCATGACAATTTTAGTTGATAGCAAGTTCACTATTCCTACATTCTCCCTCCAAAAAAATGCAACGCGAGGATGCATTAATAGAAGTATAGTCTCTGGAACGCAGGAGGTGTTCGTACCACTCAGTTTATACCAGTCAGATTACATTTAGGTTCAGTTTTGGTGCAGGAGTGTGGACCAACTTGTACATTCAGAAGAGAATCACTAGAGGGTTGGTGAGCTCTCCTCACCCATTCTGCATGACCAGTGGCTTTCCAGGTGTAAGAATAATTAGCTTGGAGGAGAGAGAGATTAAATTTATTTTACAACTAGGATCAGTGGGTGAAAGCCACAAAGTATAAGCCACTTCTAAGCCTGGCCCTTAAAAACCTATCTCCGGATGAACGCTTCCCAGGTCCCCGAGTTACAGCTCGCAGGCCACACACCAGCTGACTTGAGTTTGACTGAAACACGGGTGGGAAAGAAACCTTTGCCATGTTAAACCATTGAGATTTTGAGGTTTGTTACATAGCATAACTTATTCTATTCTGTTTAAGGCAGCGTCTTTCAAAATAGGAGACTCAAATATGTTTTTTTTTTTTTTTAATTTTGAGAAAGGATATTTTTCTCAAGGGGTCCTTGACATGTCTGGCCCGTTGTAGCCCCTTTCTCCTGACATGAGCCTGACGCAGAGGCTCAGTCTCCTGATAGTAATAATCAGTGGGAATAGTCAATGTTTGGGGGCATTCACTCTAGATCACTGTGCTAATAATAATGTGTGGTATTCATAGCAGAAAGGGTAGTTAGATTTTATTTAGTGAGGAGCACAATGCCAAGCACTTAACCACCACTGTTTCTATTTGATCCCAAAAACAAATGATTAGGAGGCTACAATCATAATCCCATTTTGTAGACAGAGGAAACTGAAGTTTAGAAAGGAATGAACTTTTCCAAATTCCCAGCTGCTAAAAAGAGGAGCTGGGATAAGAAGGCCGGACTGTGACCCCAGAACCAGTTTCTTGTCACTAGAGAAAAGTCACCTGATGATATTTTCTTCCACTCTGTTTATGCTTATTCTCTGATTTTTTTTCCCCAATAAGGAAAACCCACTTAATTTACTTCATTTCTGTCCTTTATCGGTACTATGTTTTCAATCACTTTTTTGCCCCACAGTTTTACTACTTATTCAGCCTCCTCTGAGTATTAAAATTTCCACCTTGAGGACCCTTGGAGAGCTCTTAAGTAACACAGCATAGACTCAGCAACACAGGGTGCTGAGCGTGTCCCTTTTTTGTCTCATCAGGCTGTTCGGTGGCCCCTTGATTGTCACCTCGTCTGGGAGCCTCTGGGTTCTCCAGCCCACCAGAGCAGAGAGCGCACCCTGAGTTTCCTACCTGATCCCGACCTCTCCTCCCACTCACTGTAGAGGCCACTTGGAGATTTGGGGGCGTGGAGACCCTGGGAACCTCCAAGAGGCACTTGCTTCTGCTACCTGGAACACTAGTCCTTCTTGCAGACTGACACTTGGTTGGCGCACAAAACACTGAGCTGAGCTTTGTGGGGCCAGTGCCTCAGAGCACTGGGTGAGGGACAGGACAGGAGGACCCTGCAGTCATCACCTGTGCATTACCCTGGACTACCAGTTCCCAAACTGGAGCCAGCTTCAGAATCACCTGCATGGCTTGTTTGAACACAAAGGGCTCCACCATGCCTAGACTTTCCCACTTAGCAGGTCTGGGGTGTGCCTGAGAATCTGCATTTATTGTATTATTTTATTTATTATTTTTTAAAGATTTTACTTATTTTGAAAGAGAGAGAGTGCATGAGCAGCGGGGGAGCAGAGAGAGAGGGACAAATAGACTTCCTACTGAGCAGGGAGGCTGCCATGTGGTTTGATCCCAGGACCCTGAGAACATGATCTGAGCCAAAGTCAGACGCTTACCCCAACTGAGCCGCCCAGGCGCCCCCTGAGAATCTGCATTTATAACAAATTCCCAGGCCATGCCGCTGCTGCTGGTCCAGGTTCTGACTTTGAGAAACATGGCCCTAAACCGACGGTTCTCAAGCCTGGAATCATGAGTATCCCCAGGGGAGCTTTTAAAATGATCAGTGCTCAGAGACGCACATTTAATTGGCCCTGAGTGTAGAAGCAGGAAACCACAGTGGAGAAAATTCTCCAAGTTATTCTGGCACATGGTGCTTCCCTGAGAAGCACTGTTTCAGGTCCAAGGTCTGCAAGACTGTTGGAAGCCCATTGTTGGAGATTGATGACTTCACTGAAGAGCGTGTTAAGCATGTTTCTTAGTTTCTGTAGCTGGTGCTTTGACATCTGGGCCTTGCTGACCTGGAAAGGACAGTCCCTCCTTGTGCTAGCTGGTTCCCAGAGATAACTTAGGCTGGTGTGACTTTCATCTTCACCCTACCCAACCCAGCGCCCATCCCCCCTCCCCCCCACCTGTTTTGTTAGGGCCTCTTACGCCGTGGGATGCTCTCCAGCTGCCACGGTCACCCCAGGGCCACCTTGGGCAGTGAAGGGTGCTGAACCCATGGAAATGATTCAAAATAGCCAATTCTAAGCCTGTTTACCCTGCCTCACCCATTCCTTCTCTGGAACACACAATTAAGTCTTTCCTGAAGTCCCCTCAAGCTCTCTCTCTGCCTGTGGCCCTGCATGGCACGCCTGCCCCTTTGTCCTGGGAACTATGAGTAATAAATTACTTTTTCAATAGCAATCGTGTCCTCATCTTTTGGCCTCACCATACCTGAATAGAAAATAAACTTGCACTTTAAAACAAAGTGCCCTTTGGAAAAATCAAAGATCAGATCAGACCATTAGGAAAATACTAAACTGGATCAGTAAACATAACTTATCAGACTTTTTTTTTTTTTTTTTCGCCAAGTAGGCTCCACGCCCAACATGGAGCCCAATGCAGGGCTTGAACTCACAACCCTGAGATCAAGACCTGCGCTGAGATCAAGAGTCAGACCATAACTGACTGAGCCACCTAGGAGCCCCCAGCCTCTTTTTCTTTCTCTCTCTCTCTCCCTCTCTCCCTTTCTTCCTTCCTTTTTCTTTCTTTCTTTCTTTCTTTCTTTTTAAGGAAGGAAAAGTGATTTTCTTATTTATTTGTAAACAATAAAAAGTATGGACTTAATTTCAGTTAAAAAGTATTGTAATCAGGTAGAGCACTAATATGTCCATTCTAGAACAGGAATAATGAAGAATAACATAGAAATATGACCCAGCTATTCCACTTCTAGATGTATACCCAGATGATTTGGAAGCAGGAAAGCATCTACTTGTGCAACAAGGTTCCTAGCAGCACTATTCACTGTAGCCCAAAGGTGGAAATAACCCAAATGGGCCCTCAAAAGTTGAATGGATAAACCAAATGTGGTATATACTTGATGATGGAATATTATTCAGCCATAAAAAGGAGTGAAATTCTGATAAACATGGATGAAACTTGCAAACATCATGATAAGTAAGCCAGACACAAGAGGACAAACAGTATATGATTCCACTTACATGAAATATCTAGAATAGGCACATTCATAAAGACAGAAAGTGGAATAGAGGTTGCCAGGGGCTGAGAGGAGGGGATGGGATAATAGGTACAGAATCTGGGATAATGGAAAAGTTCTGGAAATGGATTGTGGTGATGGTTGCAACAACACTGTGAATGTACAGTAGTAAATTTTAGGTTAAAAATATTTTATTGCAATAAATTTAATTTAAAAAGTCCATTAAGAACATTCTAGTGGAGCTGGGGTCTTAGACCTCCTGAAGCACAGTCTTCTGCTCCCTCCAGGAACCCCTCAACAAAATCATAAAAAAAAAAACCAAACCAACCTATAGGTTTGACTCTTGGAAGGATCAGAGGTTAAATGCATCCCCCTAAATCTTGCTCAGATAAACCTCTTTTATGTATTTATTTTATTTTATTTATCTAGTTGACAGAGAGAGACACAGTGAGAGAGGGAACACAAACAGGGGGAGTGGGAGAGGGAGTAGCAGGCTTCCCACTGAGCAGGGAGCCTGATACGGGGCTGGATCCCAGGACTCTGGGATCATGACCTGAGTTGAGGGAGAGGCTTAATGACTGAGCCACCCAGGCACCCAAGATAAACCACTTTTCCATAGAAATTGCAAACACTCAATTTAAACAATGTCTCAGTTATCAAAATTTCTAAATGGCTCTCAGTCAAATGAATGAAACTCCATCAGTAGAAAATATGAAAATAAATACATTTGTCCCATCTTGACACTTTCTTGGAGAAATCTTCTCATATCCTTGCAGTTAATTGGAGATAATCCTGTTTTGTAATTTTTTTTTTTTTTTTTTTTGCCAAAATCATTATTTTAGGGAGCTGGCCAGCGGAACCTTGTGTAATCCTATTATGTGTGGCTCCATGCTATTGCTTGGCTTTCAACTCCTATAGTCCCATGGTTCCTGCCAGGCAGGGTTTTATCAGCTCTCAGAATTAATATCGGCCTTGGGAGAAGAGAAGAGGCGTCAGGGATGAATCAGAGCCGAGTCAGAGAGAGGACTGGGGGTGACAGCAAGAGGCTGTGTCAGCAAGGATGGCTCGGCTGCCTTCCCGCTTGATGAGATATGTGCACGGACTCTGATCATCACCTTCTGCTGGTGGCCTCACTGGTACGCAGAAGGCAGGTGCACACAAACATCATGTCTTCGTTCCCTCCTGGTCAATCCTCTAAGCAGCACATTTTGCAGTATAAACTTGCTGAATACAGACTGTGTCACCCCAAATCCTGCA